CCCTCTGGCCGCTCCAGTCCCATGTCCCAGCCCAGGCTTGCACTCCTGCTGCCCTGCCCCGGGCCCCCACTGGCCCTGGCCCTGGGCACCAATGCAGGCCCTGCACACCAAAGCATGACCTATGCTGCTGCCTCTTCCCACCCACCCACCTGCCCACCCACTTGCCCACCGGCCCCACATGTCAGCCTGGGCACCACCACTCCTGCTATCCCACTTTAGGCATGGGACCCTGCTGGCCCTGGCCCCAGGCCCTGCACTCCTGCTGCCCCATCCTGGGTGCAGGCCCCCACTGGCCCAGGCCCTGGACACCAGCACGGGCCCTGCACTCCTCGCCATCTCCGCTGTTTTGGCTGGTGAACTCAGGTGGTGAAGTGTTCCACAGGAGCAGGGTGGATGTTTGCAGGGTCCCTGCTACATGCCTGGCTGGCTGTAAACCCCCCCCTGCTCCCGGCTGGCTGCAAAACTGCCCCCACCCCCGCACCCCATGAGATGCTTCACTGCCCCACCAGTCTGTATTTATCAGCCTTGCCTGGCTTCTCCCCAACTCCCCCATGCTCATGCCTGCCCCCCACTCACTGCCACTCATCAAACTTGCTGCTACTGCCACCACTGCTTCTCCTCGCTTTCCTGCCAGAACTCTCTGATTCCACTGACTGCTGTAGCAAAACTGGCTGAGCACTCAGTGAAACCAGGTATCAATTTTAAATGAGCGATATAGTGAAATAGTGCTAATCGAAACTGTGTTAAGTGGGGGCTGCCTGTAGGCTGAAATTCATCAAATGTTTAGTTCATGAATACTGTTCTACCACTTCCATAAATGAAATTAAAGGAGAAGGATATAACAAAAGTAAAAACAACCCAAACTTTAATCACCTACAGATCAAATACAGCAACAAACTTTAATAACATAGGTCTAAATTCTTCCTTCAAGCACAAGGCTAAGCAAATGTATGGACTTTATCTGAATGATCTTCATGGGAACTGAATGGATACAATACAACGCTCTTGACCACAGACAAACAAACAGCAGTAGAGTTGCCCTTCACTTTTCATATGATGGGGAGTTTGGCTGGTGCTTCAGCATAGCCTATATCCACTAGTCTTAAACTGAATCTCTGGCTTACTGCATTTCTGTAAATGTAGAACCCCAAACACCCACATACTCAATGGGTAAGCTGTAGCAAATCCCAATGAGGTCTAAGTACATAAAAGAGAGTTTTTGGGGACATGGTAGAACATGAACCTGCATGTTGAAAATACAAAGAGATGCAAATATTTTCATTAAAAGTAGACATCCATAAACATCCTAGAGCTATATAACTTTTTTGGATAAAATCTGTGGAAGCTCAGTGGAAGACAGTGTTGTATGTCCTCGCTCTCCACACCCTGTACCTTTTCCCCTCATCCAGTGCAGGGCTTCTCATTCCAGTCTATATATGCTCACTAGGCCTATGTGAAGCAGCAAGTATTTGATCTGGATTCATATTTGACCAATTTGGAGGTACAGTGATTCAATTTGGTGATTCGAGTCACTGTCCCAATTCAATTTGGCCAAATCGGCTTTGGAGATTCAGCGCTGATTTGGAGATTCGGACATAGACTATAATGGGGAATCACTAAAATACCTATAACTTTGCCATTTTTTTGCAGATTTATATGAAAATGGTAGCCCTTTCTAAGGGCATGAAGCCTGCCAAGTTTCAAGGAGCTAGGTACATGGGTTTCTGTGAAAGTGCACCTCAAACTTTTGAAAGCAAAACTCATATCACTTATGTGTATTAAGGGGTATAGGTTGTACCCATGTCAGTCTAAGGACATAGGCAGACAAAGTTCTTTGAGTCAATCTGATATCTTTTATTAGACCAACTGAACAGTTGGGAAAATATATCTTAGCAAGCTTTCAGGTTTAAAAACACTTCATCAGACTGAGGAAGCATCTGCAGTTGGTTTGTGTGCTTTTCCTGGATGGAAGGAATAGTAAAGAAGCCAGAGGCTGGTCTGCATGCAAGAAAGCCAGTCAGTGAAAATGTAAATTGAGGCATCAGGGTGTGAGAGAGAGGCTGGGAGGGGAGGGGAGGAGAGGTGGGGAAGAGTGATGTAGCAGGTAAAAGTGAAGATCATTGATAGATGTCCACCATGGCCCCAGCCCGCCTACGGTTAGTTCTGAAATAGTTAAGGAGCTCCTGGAGGAGCTGGATGGGTACAAGTCAGCAGGCCAGGATGACCTCCATCCACAGCTGCTGAAAGAATTGGCCAGTGTCATAGCTGAGCTGTTTGAGCACTCGTGGTGCTCTGGCCAGGTTCCTGAGGACTGGAGAAAGGCCAGTGTGGTGCCCATTTTCAAGAGAGGGTGAAGGGATGAGCCGGGTAACTTTAGACCAGTCAGTCTTACCTCTATTCCTGGGAAACTGCTAGAGAAAATAATCAAAGAACACATTTGTTCAGGTCCAGCAGGGGAAGTGATGCTGAGTTTTGTGCAAACCAGCATGGGTTTGTCACAAGTAGATCCTGCCTGACAAATCTTGTAGCCTTCTATGACCAGGTCACACACTGCCTGGACACAGGAGCTGAGGCTGATGTCATCTTCCTGGACTTTAGGAAGGCCTTCGACACAGTTTCGTACCCTATCCTCATTGGGAAGCTAGCAGACTGTGGAGTGGATGCCTACATGGTCAGGTGGGTGGCCAACTGGCTTAGGGACTGCACCCAGAGAGTGGTGGTGGATGGTTCCTTCTCGGCCTGGAGGGAGGTGGGCAGTGGGGTCCCGCAGGGTTCAGTCCTCGGACCGATATTATTTAATATCTTCATTAGCGATTTGGACGAAGGCGTGGAGAGCACCCTCTCCAAGTTCGCTGATGATACCAAGTTATGGGGCAAAGTTAGTACACCAGAGGGCAGGGAGCAGATTCAGGCTGACCTGGACAGGTTGGATCAATGGGCAGAGAGAAATAGGATGCAATTTAATAAAGATAAATGTAAGGTACTCCACCTGGGAAGGAGGAATCCCTAGCACACCTATAAGGTTAGGGAGTGTCCTTCTGGGCAGCTCAGAGGCAGAGAGGGATCTTGGAGTCATAGTTGACTGCAAGATGAACATGAGCTGGCAGTGTAACGAGGCCATCAACAAGGCCAATCACACCTTGTCATGCATTAGCAGGTGCATAACTAATAGATCAAAGGAGGGGATGCTCCCCCTCTATGCGGCACTGGTCAGGCCACAGTTGGAGTATTGTGTCCAGTTTTGGACACAGTACTCGTCACAAGAGATGGCTGAGAGGAGATCTTGTGGCCGCCTATAAATTTATTAGGGGAGGTCAACGGGGAATAGGGGACGTGCTATTTACTAAGGCGTTCCAGGGAGTGACTTTGAATAATAGGTGTAAACTAGTTGAGAGTGGATTTAGGTTAGATATTAGGAAGAAATTTTTCACTGTAAGGGTGGCCAGGATCTGGAATGGGCTTCCAAGAGAGGTGGTGCTATCACCTAGCTTGGAGGTCTTCAAGAAGAGGCTGGATAGTCACCTGGCTGGGGTCATTTGACCTCGGTCCTCTTTCCTGCCAGGGGCAGGGGGTTGGACATGATGATCCATTGTGGTCCCTTCCGACTCTACAATCTATGAATCTATGAATCTAGGTACCTAGGGAGTCAGATATCAGGCAGGTTATAGTGTGTCATAAATCCAACGTCTATTTTGAGTCCATAAGTTTTTGTATCTAGGAGGCTGATGAAGTGAAGTTCATAGGCTTGTCTGTGAAAAGTGTTTTGTAAATTCAAACAAGCACCAAAACTCCCTAACCTCATTACCAGAAGCAAACTTCCTACAGTCCAAAACACACTGAATGGATCCAGACTATGCCATGACAAGACACGCAAAACCTGACAACGTATCTCCAGTACCCCCACAATTACTAAACCCTACAACAGAACCATCACCATTCCTGGATCTTACAGACGCACTTCCAGAAACAGTATATATCTCATCAAGTGCATCAAATGTCCTGATGGAAAATACATAGACCAAACAACAACTGTGCACCAGAATGAATGCACACTGGACATCTATTAAAGAGAAGAACACTCAATTACCAGTGGGAGCACATTTCTCACAAGAAAACCACTCTCTCTTCAATCTCTCAGTCCTGATCCTCAAAGGGAATTTACAAAGGGATCTGGTCCTGATACTCAAAGGGAATTTGTATCTATCTATCTATCTATCTAGATCTAGATAGATCCATCTATCTATTTAGATAGATAGATAAAAATTCCCTTTGAGTATAAGGACCAGATCCCTTTGTAAATTCCCTTTGAGGATCAGGACTGAGAGATTGGAGGCCTGATGTAGATAGATAGATAGATAGATAGATAGATAGATAGATAGATCATTTCAATCATGGAAAATGTGGATTTGGAGTTACGTTTTTTAAACCAAAAATTGGGGATTTTTTTTAATCAGAGAAAACCAGGATCCCTGATAATCACTTCCCTTGATATGCTGGCAATGCTCCTACTAATACAGCCCAGTATATCATTAGCCTTTTTGGCAACAAAGGCACACTGTTGGCTCATATTCAGTTTACTGTCCACTGTAAGGCCCAGGTCCTTTTCTGCAAAGCTGCTAGTTGGCCAGTTGGACCCAGCCTGTACTGGTGCATGGGATTGTTCTGCTCTAAGTGTAGCTAGTGAGGATGTGAAAGGTAACAAGAAGGGTTTTTACAAGTATGTCAGCAGCAAGAGGAAGGTCAGGAAAAGTGTGGGTGCCTTACTGAATGAGGGAAGTAACCTAGTGACAGATGATGCAGAAAAGACTGATGTGCTCAATGCCTTTTTTAGCTGAGTCAGGGTTAGCTTCCAGACTGCTGCACCTGGCAGCACAGTTTGGGGAGGAGGTGAGCAGCCAAAAGTGGTGAAAGAACAGGCTAGGGACTATTTAGATGATACAAGTCTCTCCCAACCACTACATGTATTACCTATTGACATTCTGTAATTGTATTCTTTTTTCAGATCTACTTGGGGAACAAATACTGTAAAAGTACCTGGATGTAGGCCAAAACAGGGAACTGAAACTGTAAGCCTTTCAGGAATTTGGTGAGTCAGGTGGAATTCAGATTCAAATCTGTTACTAAGGTTTTGTTCATGGGTCTGATCCAAAACTAAAGGTGGCTTTTTTCTTGCTTTTTTTTTTTGCTAATATTTCTTATGGACTGTTATGAAATTCTGGTGTGTCTGAATTAAATACGTTTTGATTTGTCCGTGATCACATTTATGATTATTTAATATTTGTGTTGCAGTAGTGGCCACAGATCCCAAACAGGACTGGGCATTAATTTTACTTAGTGCTGTACAAATATTGAAATAGACATTCTCCAGTCTCTGAAAAGCCACACCTAGGCCAGATGAAAAGGTTAATTCTCACTTTACATAGCAGACAGAAAAATTAAAATTAACCAAGATCTGAATTCTCCTTACTGCTAAAATACACAGAGCAGTATCTGTAAAATCTATGTCCATTTAAGTTTAATGTTTTTTACTAAATGGCTTTGGGGTGCTTTTTCATCCATATCACAACGGCGATTTTGCCCCTTCAAACCACATGAACTGATAACATGAATTATTGATTGTGCAACATATTCTTACTTACATCTCTGTCAAATAAAACCTTGAGTCAGAATGAGGTGAATAAGAGATGTATAAAAAGAACACAGAATGTTTGTGAATATTGAATAGTCTAAATGAAAGTCTCTTTATCCCTTTATCTCAATATTTGCAAGTAACCAAGCAAATTTTAAAGGCTAATAATATGCTGTTGATTTAGAAATAGTAGACTTGCTTAGATTTCCTTTATTAAATTGTCATGTTTTATATGTCATGTTAAATTGTCATGTTTTATATGTCAGTCATAGAAGACTGAGAAGTCAGGCCATATTAACTAGTGAAGACAATACTTTAAATAGAACCCAAAAATGAACAGGAGAACCTTAGTTTGATTTGTTTCAAAGAAAATTCAGGCATGAAACTCTACACAAAGATTTCAAGCCATGTTTTATACATGCCAAAATGAGTGTTTGGAACTGAAGGAGGAGAAATATCTACTTTCCTACCTTTCGTGGGAAAAATGATAGCATGTGAAATTTAACAAATGAGATTTTTCTTGTGTGCCTATTTCATTATTCAGCTTTTTCTGCAGTCTTTCTACTTACTTACGAACTCAAAAAAAAGTGAAGATGGAACCGCAGACATCAAAGACAAGAGTAGTCTATTCTGGGAACCATTTATGGTGTAAGTAAAAGTCTAATTAAATAATGACTTCATTTCGGCAGGATCCCATGATAAGAATCAATAGCCAGGCCACTGATCTTGCATTAATTTGTCCTTACATTGTCACTAAATCTTGTCACAGTCACACTTTCTTGACACCCTGAATTAACCTTGATTATAACCTTAGCTTTAAAATAGAAGCCTGGAAATTCTTTTCACCTAGCTAAAATTCTTTTTTTTTTTTTCTTGTCCAAAGGTTTCAATGGCTGCTCTGTGAAATACATTTTATTCAGCAGAATTCATGTATATAAGACATCTTCTTCATTTCTAAAGGACATACTAATCCTTCCCACAAAATGTTTTCCCACAACACAATGAAGAACATTGTATTCTTAGCTTATATTTCAGTTTCCTTTCCCTTAAAGTCATACATGCTGCCTGGAAATAAAACACACAAGAAAGTACATGGAACATGCCAAAGTTGAATAAAATGTTAAAACATATTTGTTAGCTCCAGCCTTCCATTTGTGTGTATTTTTGTGTTGGCAATATTGGGAGATCTTGCCAAGAATCCTAGAATCATAGAAAAGTAGGAAAGGACCCCCCAAGTTCATCTAGTGCAATCCCCTGCCTGAGGCAGGATCAACAGTTATGGTATGTTTTTTTATTTGTCCTAAATGTTTTTGTTAGGTCAGCCTTTGATTCCTATTTATAAGGTTTACCTGATATTCACTTCTTAGTATAGTTTTTGGGAAAATGAATGTATGATTAAGAAAAAAGTTTTGCCCCATTCAGTCTTAAAATAATTTGAATATAAAGAGAGAAGCAGCATTGCGTCACAAGACTGCAAAGGGGGATATGTGAATTGACTATACTTTGGGTGAAGAGAGCTGCAAAAGAATGAGAATTCACATGTAGAGAGCCTTTATCATTTCTGAAATGTAAAACATAGTCGTCCAAATGCTTCCAGATGCTTAAAACACACACTCATTAGGCAGTGATACTTCATTACATAGGACAGAAGATTAATAATTTTTCTCTCTGAAAAAATCAGTCCTTCTGACTAAATGAATTATTTACAGCATCTTTTACGGCAATACAGGACTGGACGGACTCTGGCCTAAAGAGTCCTATAAAAGATTAGGACAAAGGTATGGTTCTTGGATACTATAGGATATATTATATAATGATGCATCTTGTTCCCCAGCCAGATTTGCACTGAAGCAATTGGGTAATCAAACATTTACCAAAAAGGATTCATCTCTGGAACATAAGGTCAGTTTCACTTCCTGGTGTTTAACCCAACATAGAGTTAATACTTCCAGAAATTTCAGCAGCCCTCAAAGGTATTTGGATCAACAGAACTAAGAAAAGGGAGAATTTTAGTTAACTTTCTTCCTGCTACTTATATGTTATTGGCATTTTTTCTGATCACATGTATATGCCACTTGAGGTATAGAAACGTATCCCAGTTCAGATAATCATTACACATCATAACATCCATGACAAGAAACTCAATGAAGTATGTGACAGAAAGATTTATACCCACTACAGTTGGGTTTTTAATGAACTTTTTGTTAATGCTTCCTTCTTCTATTTATATAATACTCTTGTTTCAAACAGGGCAGAAACTTAATTACATGTAAGAAAAAATATTTATCATACCAAAAATTTGTGTCAGGAATGCTGATCAGCAGTGATCCTGGTTTTCTCTGATTTAAAAAAATCCCCAATTTTTGTATATACACATAGTGGTATTTCATTTTAATCATGGAAAAATGTGGATTTTGGATTACATTTTTTAATCCAAAAATTGGGGATTTTTTTAAATCAGAGAAAACTAGGATCCCTGCTGATCTGGTTTGAAAATAAACAAGGAAGGAATTGAATAAAATACTAGTTTCAGTTTTCAATCAGTTCTTGACCAGGGTAAGCTTGAATGGCTAGCAGTTAAGGAAAAAAACATTTCCATCTTATACTTGCTGACTAGGTAAGTCAGTTCTGAAAACTTGTGAAACACAACTAGCATCTATTTGCCTACTAGCATATACAGTAAAACTCTTGTTGTCCGGCATCCCCTGGGAATGAGGGATGCCGGATAACAAAATAGGCCGGTTAACTGCGGGACAGGGAAGCAGGCCCTGCACAGTCTGTTATGCCCCCGGACCATCGGGGCTCAGCAGCACAGGCTGTTTTGCCCTGGGCTGTCAGGGCTCGGGGAAACTGGAAGTGCCACGGTGGGCACTTCCAGTTTCACTTTATCTTACAAGCCAGCATGCCGGTTAATTGAGCATGCCAGCTTGTAAGATGACAGTTAACAGAACTTTTACTGTAATACAGTTTTTACAAAGCGGCTTTTCTGGAATTCAATCACAGTTTAATGGACTTGACTTTATTGTCTTGCCTCAACTGGTCTCTTAGTTCAGTTTATATTTTCATATTAGTTAGTTCACTATAAAGTCAAACTTCCTAGAATTCTGCATAAACCAGCCAACCCTGAAGCCTTACTATTAATAACTATTATTAAATGGGATGATGCACACTATAAAGCTTTCATTTATGTAAAATACATTGCTGTAAGTCTTTGTGACTTAAAAGTGAAAATTTAATTTAATGTGCTTTCCAGTAAACACAGTTTTATCATCATCACTGATAAATGCTAGTATCTGTTCTTATCCATTGTGCTGTATATGATAACTCTGTGTAGAGCAAATGAAGTTGTAAAAACAGACGATATTGTGAAGTCTGCATAGCATCAATCTTTAATTTTATAAAAAAGGTTAATCTCTTTTCCCAAATGAAATTTCATGTGGGTCTAAAACTTTGCTAAATATATACTCATTGTTTTCTCATTTTAAAAACTTTGAAATACAAATATAGTGTTCAAAGATGAACAGGAGACCCACTGACTGGTATTGTTTAGTAGTGACATATACTTTATTTTATTTCTATTTCTATGAAGCATTATTCTGGAACTCAGCATTATAGTGAATGCCCCACAAACAGTAATCAAACATCATAATATTTCTTTTTCCATTTAAATGATATGGAAAATGGCACAGAGAGGTCCTCACTTAAGAAAAGATTTAGCACATGCTTAGGTCCATCTCTAATCAGGAAAGCAGTAGAGTGTATTCTGAACATAAACAGGGTTTATGTGCCACTGATGTATGAACTTTACAAAGTAGCAATACTTTCCAGAATTGGGAAAATCATGGCAAATTCCATGGAGTTAAAATTATTATTTGTCTTCACTTGGATTTTAAAATGAGATAGCTAACATAAAAAAAATATTGTTAGATCTGGCTTGGAGTTTTAAATTAAGGTGTTTTCCCAATGGAGAATGTAGTTTCTGTGGAACTGAAATTTTCTTAAAGAAAAAAAATGTCAATTTTGCCAAAGTATTTCATATTTCCCTCCTAAACTTAACATTAAACTAGGTCCAAGTGGGCCCCCCTGGTGTATCATGGATCTTCTATGACAACTTTGCATTATGGAGGAGGTAGTTGGGTTGGAGATCCTGACCCATAAAGGTGTCTAACCAAACTGTGACTAACATCACCACCTTTTTTAATTAAGAAAAAATAAAATTCAGAAAGTTTACTTCTATCAAAAAATGTAAGGATTCAGAATGGAAATGGATGTTGAACTATTAGAAGTTCCTGAAGATCAGAACCTGCAATTTTCAATCACACATTATGAAAAAGGCATCTATTTGCCTCTATTGAAGACAGCCCAAATCCCCTTTTCATCTCTTCCATCTTCCTTTCCATCAAAAGAATATTGTTCACCTAGAACCGCATGGGCTCCTTTCTTAAGGTTTTGTCATTGTGGAGTTGTGTAAAATCCACTTCTGAAAAACCCTAACTGGTCATTAGGGAAGAGAAATTTTCTGTTAGATCTGCTATTGTAGGGCCAAAAGGAAAAGGTGGCTTTCATACTGCCTGGCTGTTAGGGGAGGCAAAGGGAGGGCAAAATGTCACTCTGTAAAAAAAACAAAACAAAACAGAAAAACAACAAAAAAAACCCCAAAAAGGTGATGGGCTGGCAGTGAACTGGGATCCAGTGCTGGGGAGCTGTTACTCCAGAACAAAGAGAAGGCACTGGATGTAAGTCAGCTGGTTAATTCCCAACAAATAAACTAGGACTGAAGGTCTGGAGAGAAGTGACATTCAGGGAGAAGCTGGGAGATTGTGATATAAGAGCAGCAGGACTTAACACTCTGAGCAGCCAGTGCAACCAAAGGCACATAAGAAAGCAATGAAAATGGAAGCAGAAATGGGTTGGGATCCTTTGACTCTTGATAGGTTCTGAAAAAAATAATCTGTGAATTTAGACATTGAGGGACTTGGCTCACTGACCTGGGAAGAGTATGTATGTAATTCCCCTTAGAGTCGCCTTCTGAAACTGTCCCTACTCAGATAAAATCCATTCAAAAGTCAATGGTCCATATGAACCTAGCAATGCACATGAACCTAGCAGTGCATTGAGCTAACATAGTTAAAGCCTGCAGTTTCTGTAGCCCATGGCACATAAAGGAATGATCTGGCTAGTATCACATCAGGCTCCCTTTGAGTCCCTAGCCTGAATGGCTGGGTAATTATCCGGGATCCTGGTTTTCTCTCTAAAAAAAAAATCCCAAAGTAACCTAAAATCGACATTTTTCCATGATTAAAATGAAACACCAGTAATATATATATAAAATATATATTTAATTTATATATTTAATGCATATTAAATATATGTATTTAAATATATATATATTCGTTGTGTTTCATTTTAATCATGAAGAAATGTAGATTTTAGGTTACTTTTTTTAAACTGAAAATTGGGGATCCTTTTTAATCAGAGAAAACCAGAATCCATGGTAATCATTTATAGCAGAGTCAATTGAGGGCAATCTTCAGTAAAGAAGCAGCTTCTTAAGCCATACCTAAGTGCTTGGCCATCACTCACCTTAGATTAATGTATCAATAAAGGATAGCACTTCTTCCTAGGAATTAGTTCCTTGGTGTTTAGTTAGAGGCATATGACCTGTGATTTAAGAGTTACCCACCAAGCCTGCAATTGATACAGCTTATCAGTTTGTAATGTAAGAACAAAACAAAACAAACCAAAAAACCCCTAAAGAGTGTTTCAATTTAGATAATGCCCTTACCTGGCAGTTGTCCCTGCAACATTACTTTAACTCTGTTCCTGGAGATTTTTATCTTCAGTGCTTACATCAATAACTTGGAATGTACTTATAATTAGCATCTGTTTCTACAACAATATTCTGTTCTTCGTTACAATACCTAAACACAACCTAATGACTCTAGTGAATTGCATTTGTAAAATAAGAGAAAATTTGAACCATTCTCCAGATTC